CGTGGGGATCAGCTCCACTGGCCCCCGCACTGTCGTGCCCACACCCAACTCGGGAAGTGGCAGGAACTACTTTGGTTTAATTTGTATATCTATGTAAATGCGCTCATTCACCAATGTGCTTCATTGCCATTGGTCCAACCGCTCGTTTTCAGCGGGTGATTGGTTGCTTTGAGTGCCGCGCTAGCTTAGCCTGGTTTCGGCTTACTTTGCAAAAGTGGTCTGCATCTAGCAACGTGGTTTTCGTGTGTGCGTTTATTTATTAATATTCTTTAATCAACTTTGTCATTATAATTATTGTAAGACGTCAATACATAAATCCATTTTCCCTCTTTGTCTAAAATATTAAAAATGTCCTTTTCTATTCGTTGAAAATATTGAATTTTCTTATTGAACAAAATTGTTTTATTGACATATTCTAAATATTTTCGTTTTTTCCATATATTGTCTGTTTGTCTTTAGCCTGCAAGATGGAAGATCATGCCTACATGGAGTTTCTTCGCCTTCACCGCGCTGCTCTTACTACCATGAAGGTTCCTGAAATCTACTGGCCTACAATTCATTCTAAGCTTCGGGGAAAGGTTTTTGATGCCTCTGAAGAATTTGAGTTGGGAATGCTTAATTATCTAAATGATGAAAATGAGACTGTGGATAGTAAACTATTCGTTTCCGTTAAAGTCGATGAAATCAAAGCGTCTGATCCCAACAGGTGTGTTCCAATATCCTCTCTCTTAGTCTTTCAGCTCTTTTCTTATTTGTGAAAGTCTGCAATTGTTTAAGCTTTTGCATTTCTTTTATTAAGTTACACGCATAAATTTTTACTCACTTTAGTGGCTAGAAATGGAATAAAACCTAGAACCCAGGAGCTAGTTTGCGGAGTTGAAATCTGTAACTTCTTTGTCGAAATCCCCTCGACAATATAAAGAAAAGAGACGCACGGTGTGGAACACGTTTTTTGAGATATTTTGTCTGTCACAGGGCTTAGTCATTAAAATACAATGAAGGGTTTGTTAAAGAATGAAGAGCCTATTGATTGTTGACAGGTAGCGCGGTCTCACCTTCGTGATAGTATTGTGCATTCTACAATACTCCCCATATAGAGAGTTCTCAGGTTACTAAGGGGTAGAGAAAAAACGCTTAATAATTAGTTACTGTAGTAATCGGCCAGTCGAGAGGAGAAAACAATCCTTCGCCCTCAATGAGATTTTTGAGGCTTTGGGTCGGAAAGTTTAACCGTATCTGAGGTCAATTAATGAAATTTAAGAGTTGATTAGCGCGCAGGAGAAGACGCAGCAGGTGAAAGATTAGTGGGCAGAATTTGAGTTATCCTAGGAGGCCAAAGTGGGTGTGTATATGATTAGTAGTCGTAGTAAATAGTTTACATTTGTTAGTGGCTGTTCGGCTGCTTGATTTCCTGATTGTGATTTTCACGCATCCATAGTCTCTTCTTTCGGCGTCTGTTACACGGTGGCTCTTGACTTATTTTTAGTTGCGAATGATTTGTTAGTGATGAATGGATCAGGTAATGTTGTCATTTTGTGATTCTACATAGTAGAAACCTTTGATTAGGGCTGAAATTCCATCGAATGATCACGACATTTCATCAATAATTGTCCCAAAATTGAGTCGTCTAGGTTGGTTCCGCTTGAAAGGGATCGTGTGTGGTGTGGAGTTGAGGAGTTCGATCTCATAAATTGACTAGTGAGTGAAGTTGTTGAAGATGTCTCTCCCGAGAAATAGGTAGACGAGTATGTCTTAGCGGATGTCCTCTGGTGCCCCATCGACACTAGGGAAGACGAGTATCGTGATATTGGGTGAAACAGCATACTGTGTTTGGTTACACCCCGTAGTCAGAGAATACTTACCAGTTGTAGGAATCGCATATGAAGGTATGTTGGGCCAGAAATAAGCTAATGGGGATGAATGCCCATCGCTTTCACCGAAATCTGTTTCAGAAGACATTCTGTGGCAGTGGGGAGGATTAAAGGATAAGAACTGGTAATAATTGTTAGAGGAGACGAAGAATCACCAAGCCTCTTGTTTGAAATAAAAAGAGATCGCAGTGCCAGGGGGAGATTGAGTCTCGACTGAACAGATCGCTCCGGGTTAGCAATTCTCGTCAGATTATGCTTTTTCATGAGTCTTAGCCTTTCAGATTTCTTAGTGTACTGACTAAATGATTAGGAATGTTTGACTGGATCAGAATTTCAGATTAGCCCCTACTACTTGTTATTACATTGAATTTATTAAGATTATTCAATTGAATTGATTTGCCTGCTGGCATATACAGTTCCAAGTTAATGCAATGGTATCCACATCGTTTACTTTGCTGGCTGTTTTATACAAAATGCTTTTATAATTTTAATTAGGCCTATTTTTCCGTCTCCTTCGTGATTGTCTCCCTATTATTTCATCTGTACTTTAGCATCTTCCTCTCTGATCACGCATGGACTTTTCAATTGGAAGGCGTACGAAGAACTCTTGAGACAAACCCCATTCTCCTGCCTCGAATGAAAACTTTGATGTGCATTAATGAGGATAATGAACAGGAGGCTATTGAGGCGGTTATGCGAAAAATGTGGAAGTGAGTTCTTGGTACTACTATTTTGGCTTCATATTGACGAATTGTCTATTAGTATATTGTTTTAAAAATGATCCCTCATACACTTAGCTGTTGCATTCATTTGTCCGAGGATATTGAGTCTTCCCTGTGGTAAAGAAACAGTTTATTTGTTGGGCTAGCTAAAGTCGTCTAAGTATTTTTCTTTTGTGCTTCTGTTATCTCAATTTCAAGATCTGGTTTTACTCATTTTTCATCTTAGAATGAAAAAAATTGTACCCTCATCACATTTTTCTTTTTGTATTTCGAATTAGTGTCTTGCTTTACAATGTTATTCCCTGGAATTACATCATGACTGTGCAAATTTTAGAAGTGTCCTTGAGGGTTTTAGTCGATACATTAAAGCCTATAGCATTTTTATTAAAGTTGGAGGTTCTTGAGCCATATATAGTTTCTGGTTGGAAGGAAAACTTCGTTTAATTATCAGAGTTTTTTAGGTTTCTTCTTAACTCTGTCAATTATTCGTTGTCCTATTCACCCTGCCTGTTAATTATGAATTAAAGTAAACGATACAACCACTTTGACCGACTTCTATTGCGTTCATTGGAGAAAAGTACTTGGCCTCGTTTCACAGAAGTACGATGATAACTTTTAGACAAATGCCAATTTATTTCACTATATTATACCCACCAAGGTAGTTTTCGTTGTCAACCAAATGAGCTCACATTCTTTTCTCCTCTATTCCAACATTTTTGATGTCCACATCTGCGAGCTTTAAATGCTTTTGTAGGTTCTGTCGCCTCTATCAGATTTCTGAACCCACCAAAAGTGAAGAGGGAGAAATTGTGCTAAAGATGGATGTCTGGTACATTCTTGACGAATTTGGTTCTAGTCTCCAACAGTCCTCTACTCCAAATGGTATGTCATATTTTCAGGGTGTAATTACAAGCACCTTGCATCTTCCAATGTCCCACAATTTGTGTCTGATATGAGTATATAGTGCATTCGGAGTTGAATCATCTATGAAAAAAAATGTAATCACACAGGCGTCATTTATTACTTGATTGATTCCGCAAAACCCCCTTTACTGGTAAGAATATCAAAGAATAGAGGGAAACGTTTATATTAACACCACAGTCTATCAAGGCTAATCTGTTAATGGCATTAAGCATTGTGTTATTGATATGCAGCTTTGGAATCAAATTAAGTAATTACTAATCAACCATGGTTTGGATTGAGAACAATTAATCCTTCATATATATACATATATATATATATATGATATAATTGATTTTCTTGGTTGGGTTGATTAAATTCCTGCTTTTCTAGTAATACTGCTCCTGTTGGCATTTGTGTTTCTTCTAAGAGCTCAGGAACCATTGTACGTTTTTTGTACTAGTTAATGTGGCTTCTCTTGTGTACGTTCCCGAACAGCTCTGCTATTCTCTCTTCTGGCCCACTGAAGACTTGCACAAAGGAGGTAGGCTACCCTTTCTTCATTCTTTTATGCTTCTCATGTGTCACTTGTTGTAATCAGTTGAATGTTTGTCACGACATTTGTGTGTAGATACTCTGACAGTTGACTGGGTGTCTGCTATTAAGAATGAGGAGAAGAAGGCCCTTCTGTTGATTCCGTGGGAAGGAGGGGACTTTTCGGATAGATCATCAGCTCATTCCTTTGTGCTCACTGATGAATTCTTCTCGGTAAGTTGGACTGGATTTGTGATGTGCCTTCTGTTACCTTCGTATTGCATTCAACTGAGCGCTCAATCTGCTAACATTGTCTAAGATAGGTACCTTGTTTTAGATCCGTACTTACCTATTGGCTTACATAACACCCCTTAATAGGCTTTGTACTTTCACTCTTATCTATATTCCTCTTTGGTGCTTTTAATTCTTTTCGAGAATATTTCTTGAGCAGCTGTTTTTATGAAATCAATTCTTAACCCTTTATCGCACTTAATACCGTACGGTCTTCTTTCAAAATAAGCTAGATTCGTAACAGAAGGTGCCGTTGCCGTTTGAAACATGTCCAATGCGTGTCTATAGCCTTCGCCTGATACCTCACCAAAACTCATCACGTCGGCGACATCAGTGTGCTACTGTGAGACCCGCGTGAGTACGGTTGGGTGCATTTCTCAAAAAAAATAATTCGGTTGTTAAAGGATTGTGAACAGAAACCACAAATCTCAAGCGAATAGCAGAGCTTTTGAGAATATGCATTTTCAACTTGGCTTCATATACGTCTTGTATATTCTACTTCAATTGTAGTTGTTAAGACACCAATTGGTTTTTAACGTGCCAGAATATTAATTTTTAATTATATCAAATGTCAGGCTTTATGATAAATACATCTAAGTACAAATAGTGGAGATTATGAATGAAAGAGTAATTCATAGATGTAAAGAGGAGACAGGCATTAAGGTAGAGAAAAAAGGTAAGGTGAGGTGAGTACTGTGGACCTGGTTTAATGTGAAATTCGGTGAGATCGTTCTAGTTTGAAGTCAGGAGTATGCGTTGCTCAGGGTGCATCACGTGGAGGTATGTCTATCACATCTCTTGCGTCAGAAAATTAGTTCTCAGCAAAAATAATGACGTACTTGCCACTAAAAAGCTCGTTATTTAAACCGTCGTTTGTGCATGAATGAGAAAGAAAATTAACCGCAATTCTTTTATGCTATTATAATTAACGATTTTTCTAAACTGTCCTTGAACTATACTTGTGCTTAAACTTAGCATCATATTGCTAAGCTGTCTGTCCTGTTTGATTTAGAATTATAATCGAGTGTTGTTGAATTTTACCCTTCTCAGCAGGTTAAAAGCGGTAGTGTTAGAGGCATTAAAGAGTCTGTCCTTTACCTTAAGTTGATCGCCAGACATATTTCCTTTCACAGAGTCACAAAATGCAGGAGACTCTACCCGACCCAAGTGTCAAATTGGCAGATAACAAGAAAACACCTCTACTCGTTTACACCGACATGGACTTGGTGGCTGGAACACTCACCAGCCCCAATTACAAACTCACGGATAATCGTGATGAGGCCGATATTATTTGGACAAGAAAACACATTCGGGATTATGAGTAAGTTCTCTCGGATCGTTTCAGATCTTCGTACAGTTTGTAAGCGAATTATCATTTGAATGTGTCAGTAATACACTTTACAAAAAAATATGTTTGAGTGGAATCAAACAACTTTATAAGTTACTTTTTCTTAGTAGGCAAATTGACCTCCATTATTTGTAGGTAATATAATTTCACTGTTAAATTTACAAATGTCCAATCCCAAAAAATAGGCAGAGAACACACCAGACAGTTACTGGAAGCTGCTTCTCTTTCAGCTGGATCCATCAATGAACTTTATGATCGAGTACCTACAGTCCACCGAAGTCAATTTTGGTTAAGGCGATTCGAATGGGCCAATGGAGTTTATAACGATGAAACAAATTCATGATTAAGTGAAGATGATCTGGTTAAATCAGATTATCATCTATTTAAAAAGAATTATCGTAGAAACTCGCATGTTGATGGTGAGCTGAGAGAGTACAGTTGAGACGCATGGGTGAATAGAATAGGATATGAATTTGTGTATCCCCATCAACTCTTCTAGAATAATAAAGAAGCATGAAGGAAAGGTGTATCCATTTTTACCTTGACAACAAATTGTTCGTTCTTTTTACACAGAATTATTAATGGGTTCACTAATTGGATCGTTTAGGCCAATTCTAGTGGAGTAGAACAGTGGCTTTCTCTAAAACAGGCATTCAATTTATCCTCTAAGCCAAACCAGGGTTGAACCTTCGTCAACTTCTCTTTTGTGTTTGTTTTGATACTCGTGGAATATAAGGCTTCACAGTTAGCTAAAACTAGGCGAAATGTGTTGTGTTAACAACCAGAAATTAAAACTGAACTTGAATCGTAATTGTTTCTTTGAAGATTGTTCATCGTATAACCATTTGTCCTCTACATTAACCTTTTTTATTCCAACAGACCATACTTGGTTTGCGCTTGGTCAGCAAATGGAATATATATATACTTGAGAAGGGTTGATTGCTTGTTGGACACAAAAAGATGATGTCGTCGTATAACTTATACTTTCCTTAAGATTCATTTTGTTTTCACCTCTTGTATTTCTCAGAAGTTATTTCGTCATTTTAACCACTTGTCCGCTTTCTAGGAATCTGTCTCGAACTCGGGCCAATGTCTACGTGAACCAATTCCCCTATGAATCCGTGGTCACTGTTAAGGACATGTTAGCTGCTGTAGCTGCATCTGAGGCCGCTATTGAAATCAGCGGTCCTGGTGACGCCTATGACATTCAATCTGAGGATGAGGGCGAAGAAGAGGAGGAGAAGGGAAGGAGTTCTCCAAAACGAGCTCTAATCGCCTCCTGGTACCCCGTTACGTTTAATCTCTACTATGAGTTGGCTCAATTCGTAGCATTCTTCCAACGCAGAGCGGAAGAAATTGATGAAGTTGTGGAGGAAGTGCTGGAAAATGGGAAGGTGTGCTCCTTTTTTACAATCCACTCGATATGGTTTGACAAATTTGGCGTAAACGAGACTTGGAATGTGGTAGAGCATTTCATGAGTAGCTGTGATGTCCTTTCTGACCGCTTAGAACTAGGCTTAACAGGGTAGGAAACAATCAAAAACATTGGGACCACCAACTGAGAAAACGTTAGTCCGTTAAATGGCTACATTGAAGGACTTGAGGTCGATAACACAAAAAGTTTGGATTTGTTTAAATAAGGATTTATCGATGATCGTCTTGCAGACAAGACAAGGTAGAATGACCACACCAGCCAAGGGAAGAGCCATAAATGAGTTATGAGGAGCTATGAAGTAGCCATCTTGTCAGATTAGATACTTTCGTCTTCGGCACCGTGAGTTTGTAGCCGGAAATATCCTCATGGCTTATCGTCTCGTCGGTTCACTGTGTACCCCTGTTGGTCTGCATACTTCTTGTCTTGTACTCATCGTGCTGTTGGCAAGATATTGGAGGAAAGTTGCTAAACCAATTACGTGGGATGTGTCCTAATTGTCAATCTCTTATTGAAACTGATTGAAGACCTCCTTTACAATTAGCCTTCAGAAGCCCAAAAATTTATTTCATAGTTAATGCAGTTGTGGTTTGGTTGCAAACTTTTTTTGCTTCGGGAAAAATTGCCTCAATGTTAAGAGCCCAATCTCTTTGTATCCTGATGTCTGTGTTGAATCTAACGGCTCTGTTTCAACTTCCTCAAGATGAAATTTCCTTTTATTATTTTAGGATAACGGTCATCTAGCCGAATGTTCTCATGCTGGGAGCTGTCTGCGATGCGGCAAAGATGGGCGTCATGTTTCCTATACGCCGACCGCTGCAAAGCAGCACAATATCTGGATTGTGAAACCTTGGAACCTTGGCCGTGGTTTAGGTATATGCATTTCCGACAATCTGGATCAAATTATTCGATTGAATGAGACAAACCCGATGGTGGGCGTTTTGTTTATGTGCATAGACTAGAAGTATATCCAATAGAAGTACTTGATTAGTTGTTCTTTTCCAGATTGCAAGCCGATACATTACTGATCCGGTGCTGTTCTATCGTGAAGATATATCCAGTTGGGTGAAATTTGATGTTCGATACGTCGTCTACCTCAAATCTGTCAAACCACTCCAGCTCTATTCGCATAAAGTATTTTGGTTGCGATTCGCTAACACGTAGGCTTGCTTTCACCCCCAATTTGTCTACTTAAATGCATTACAGCTAGTAATCGTGTTTTCGTCTTTGTAGGCAATTCTCGCTGGATCACTTTGACGACTACAGCAAACACTTCACAGTGATGAACTATCGAGAAGATGACGAATTGTTCCAGGTCCATCACAATGACTTTATTCAAAGATTTGAAAGCCAGTACCCCAATGCTGCGTGGAAAGATATTGAAGCAAAGATTCACAAAATGTTGGTGAATGTTTTCAAGTCCGCTATTGCTTGTGAACCGCCTCGTGGTTTGGGCGCTTATGGAAAGTCAAGAGCCCTCTATGCTGTTGACTTGCTCCTTGAATGGCGACGCTGCCCTAGTGAAATGGGTGACTCCTGTGGATTCACTGTGGAACCACAAATCTGTGAAGTGAACTTCATTCCTGACTGCACTAGAGCGTGCCAGTATTATCCTGACTTTCATAACGAAGCATTTGATTTCCTGTTCTTGGACAAAGAATCTCAAGATATTGTACAGCTTAGCTAATATTTTGTCTAAATAGATATAAATTTTGTCTTGGCGAATCAGTTTATATTAGGCTTATTTTGATGTAAGTCCTAAGAATCGGGAAAAAGAATTCGCAATCTGAATTTTCTTCCGCCGAAGTCAAATCAATCTGGCAGTTGAATTAGGTAGTAAATAAGAATAGACTTTTAAATAAATTGATTAAAGGGAGGGGTGTTTTCATAAATGTACTCTTTCTGCTTATAAGTGCTACTTTCGTCTGTATCGCGGATACTGCATGATTTCGGACGTTAATAAGGCCCTGTAATCCCCTTAGAAGTTCAACGATCTACCAGCAAATTACAACAGGCTCTTAGTATCAACTTTTCGGCTGATACTATCTTAGCCATGCTCAAAGTAGTGAGAACGTAGAGGGTAGAGAGTGGAATGTGTTTAAACCCTATTGCCAAACTCGATCAGTGATCAAGTACAGGATTCGTTTGCTAACCAATAGCACGACTGCATCTTCAGGAATGTTATCGTTTCTGCGATTCCTTTGGCTGAACCTGATGGCACCGTGAGCTCCACATGCTTTTGGAGAACTTACATGCAAAATCTTTGATGAAGATTGGAATTAGTATGGAGGTAGGGCGATTTTTCGATCTTGGTCTAAATATTGCGGATATTGGAATAGTTATAACTTTTTATGAGGTTTGCTATATCTTCTAATGACGATAAACTAACAATCAATGTATTTTCCTAATAGCGTTTCCTCTAGTATTTTGTCATAGATTTTCTGAAGGCCTCACGGCGCCTCTATTGAGAACTATAACTCAGGCTATTGGAAAGTCTTTATGGAGCAATATCAGTTGATAAACTCTAAGCTTCCATTGCTTAGCCTTTCCACAGATTACACTTTTTGATCTGGAACTGTCATGTTCTGGACAAAGTGATTCATGGAAGTCAGTGAAAGTTAATTTACAATTCATGGAATATTAACTGTTCTAGTTCGATTATTCCTGCCCGAGCAATTCAAAAATTAAAATTGTATATGCAGATCTGAGTAGTCTCGCAAGTTTTAACCTTCCCGATAGTAACATTTCTTGTCTTTACCTTGTTACTTATTTGTTAAAAGTAGGATTAATTATTTGCTTTTGTTTTACGCATAAATCGATCAATTATGGAATTAGCGTCATATACTGTCTTACACCTTTCTTCAACGCTATAATGTAAGTAGTTTTTAGCCAAATTAAATTTCGACTTCCCAATTCATCTATTCATTTCAAGTAGATTGGACTTACATCTCGTATACCATTGAGTTGTTACTGTTTCAAATTCGAAAAATGCTAAAGGTCTTACTTTTGAATTGTAACCCACTTTAATAATTTTAACAAAAACTCTTATCTTCAGGCTAATTAAAATGGGAAGAGTTAAACCTTATAGCATCCTAAATTTGAATAGATTTTGTGAGGGAGTTGGGCATCCCAATAGGGAGAGAAATAGACTGATTGAAGCTGATGTAGCCATCCGATCTGTTAAGCTCGATTACTCACTAGCATCCACTTCTTTTTGATATATGACAAATTTGAACTCTTCTACGAATTGTAGGATATGAATGCTAAAAATTATTTCAATTTGACAGTTCTAGAAACTGAAATCTCCTTCAAATTTATGAACGAATACTTAAAGCAAGGAAGGCTTTTATTGCAAAATGGCGCCAATAACAGATCAAATTGTACTGAAAATTACTCATCAGATTTCAGTCTAGAATATTTGAGCTAAGACTTCGCTTCAACTATAGTTATCTTGGTTTAATGGATATCTTTCTGTATCCTTTCTGGGATTTCTTTTAAGTATGCTAGTCAAAATGATAGCCTGATTTCTTATCTCTACGGACCGGATCGAAGTGGAAAGATAAATCGATATCTTTTTCATCCATTAGCCATCTAGAAGCAGATAATTGATATTTATAAAAGATTTACTGTTCCTTTCCCACTGTACCTCGATAACCTTCAACCATTGAAGTATCCATGACGTTTTTGGTAAGGAATCGGTGTCTATTATAATTATGTAATGAAATTTATCTTATAGCTCCAATAGTATTAAATTAAAAATAAAAAGGCGCTCTAAAATTTTTCCACTGCTATGATGATCAGACCCGTCTACTGAGACTCTATGAGATGTTTAATTCATTTATCGAAAATGTGTAAATGGTCTGAGTTGAATAGGAGTTTGATATAGAAAAGTTACACAGCACAAAGTGGCCCATATGTGTCAAAAAGTAAATACCGGGAAAGAGAATGGAGTACCTGTATGCTGTAGGATCTATGCCGGACGTATTCGCCGTTCCTCAAAAAAAATGGTTATTTCTTTACTCGGAAAGAGAGAAGGTACTCAAAAAAGTACAAGGACATGATTGGCTGGTCAATGCCTCAAATATTCTGATTGGCATGAACCGAACTGGTTCAGCAGCACGGGCCCTTACCTACTTCTTACAACAGTAAAAAAATTATGCACAACTTATTTAGGTAGCCAATGACACAATTCCGCAGATTCTATGCTGGTTTTCGAGATGAACACTGCACATTATGAGTGGCCCTAGTTTGATCAATATGCTGAACTGACTGCTTAGATAGTCAATTCCCACTACTAATCCCTTTCTTTAATAAAAAATGATAAAGGGGCTTTGGAATAGCTACATATCTCTCTTGACTCTTTCCTGAATCAGATCATATGTATCCGATGAGGATATATCATAGGAGCTGAACTAAATCTAACACGATTATAACTCAGGATAGCCTTACATTAGTGAAAAACTTGAATATAGACGAGTTATTGACTTCTTGGATAGTCGGTCTTATGACATCGAGATTTCTTGTGTTTCAGGTACAGATAGGGTTGTACGAATTCTGGTATGACCAATTGTGGTCCAGTGGCATCGTGACCACTGACAGAGGATTCATTCTACTTCGGAGTTCAGTCAAATTCCGATTTGCTACTTTGTTTCAGCTATTCACAATATTTTACCAATAAGGCTTATTAACCGGGGGGGGGGGGTGGTGTGTAAGTGGCTACGCGTATTTATGGATCAGCCTATTAGACAAATAGAAGTGGGCCACTTTTCATTTCTAACTTACTGCGTAAATGATTTAATGCGCATTAGTTTGAAATAAGGCAGATTATCGGTTGAAATGCGCAAGTGCGTACGCCTTAGCAATAACCACCACCCAGCGTGGTTAATGTTGGCACAATGAACAGTTAATCGGTTAGGAAATTAACTATAGAGTGCTTCTGATGTTAAGTAGTTAAAAAAGATCGCTACAATGCTTATAGAAACGAATCTCTTTGGTGTATGGGGCTAATATGACAGAAGCTAACCACTCAAGGCACGCTACGATTACTGCTGTTCAGCCCTAGTATGAAGAAGGATGCAACCTATGGCCCAAACAACTATTGCAAGACTCCCTGTTAGCTTGGAATAAGAAATTGCTTCACTGCCTATTTAGTCAACAATATTTATTTTATTTTTTATATCAAATGGCTGGCTATAAGATAGTTTTCATTAGCCATTTAGTTGACTTCGGGCCTCACCGTGGGGAGGAGCATCAAGGTCATAAGAAGTTGAGAAGGGGGAACAGCAGAGTGATTGACATATGTAAAAGAGACAGGCAAACACAAAGGTAGAGAAAAAGGTAAGGTAAGTACTGTGGAAGTAGTCGGTTATGAAATTGAGTCGGGTCATGGTACTTTGAGGTGAGAATTCAACTTCCAGCTTATAGACGGTTTTGCCGTATGAGTATACGTTGCCCAGGGTTCACCACGTGGAGGTAGATTTATCGCACACCCCTAATCACTAATATAGAAGGACAAAAGTGCCTATCGAATTTATATCACTCTGCTTTCGCCCCACATCCACTTTGTTTCTCAACAAGTCTCTTTTAGATTGCTTTGAAGCAAATTAAAACCAATTTAGGGAAAACAGATTGGGGGAAACGCGATAACATGTTAAGCTCGTTCTTAAAATACCCTGATCTAATCTGATAACTATTGATAAGCAATTCAAAAGTGAGTTGTTATATGAGATCGGCTATATCAGGCTGGAAGTTTCAGAAGGATATAGGAAGCACCGACCGTAACTTGAGATTAAAGGCAACCCAAACTTCTCAGAATAGAAGTACATCAATTCCGCCGGATAAATGTAGTATTAGTTAATACGCGGTAATCTGTTCGATTAGCATCTTTCATACATGCCTTACTTGATAATTCCAGTTGTGTGAAGTTAATCTTTACTGGGGCTGAAAGTAAGTTAACAAAGAAATTGTTGCTAAAAATAGTCCCACGGACGGCAATTGATAAAGCTACTTAGAAAATTCCAGAAATTCATCACCATCATAGCAAGTGTGTTAATAAATTGCCACCTCTCTCCGCCTGTTATTAAGTGAGAAACCATAATTTTACACCAGTTGCCAAGAGGATTTCGCCTCTTTGTAGTTCACAACAAGATCACCCTGATTAATAAATTTTAAGCATTTAGGCAAATTTACGATTCTGCAAAGTAAGAATCACCGTAACATTTATTTATATCAAATGGCAGGCATTTGATAGTTTCATTAGCCCTTTAGTTGATTTCAGGCCTCACAGTCGAGAAGAAATATCAAAGTGAAAAAAAAATTCGAGAGGGGGGGGGACAGAAGAGTGAATCACAGATGTAGGAGACAGACAGACACAAAGGTAGAAAAAAGGTGAGGTGAGTACTGTGAAAGTAGTCGTTTATGACATACAGTGGGGTGATGGAAGTTTGAAGCCAGAAGTCAACTGCCGGTTAATAGACTTTTTTGCCGTATGAGTATACGTTGTCCAGGATGCACCACTTGTAGGTAAGTCTATCGCACACCCCGCATCACCATAACATTGTTGATAGTGAAATAATTCAACGGAAAGTTTGATGAAGAAGGTCAGGACGTCAAGAGTCCACTCGAATTTATTTGATTTTCCATGTCTTACTCAGTTAAATGTTTCATGTCTAATGCTCTCATTTCCAA